GAATGTCTTCTGTCAATGTTATGATTTTTTTCTTTTAACGTTTGTAAGCTGTCACTCTTAGTTGATTTTAGAAGCAAATTACATGTGTTTTTGTTAAAAATTGTTAGTTTGGCGTCAGTTTTAGTATGGAGTCCAATAACGAGCATTTTCGTCATATTTTACTTTTTTATTTCCGCAAAGGAAAAAACGCAGCGCAGGCTGCTAAAAAGTTACGTGACGTATATGGCGAAGAAGCCTTAAAAGAAAGACAGTGCCGCAATTGGTTTGATAAGTTCCGTTCTGGAGATTTTTCACTCAAAGATGAGCAACGTTCAGGTCGGCCATTGCAAGCTGATGATGACCAAATCAAAGCCATAATCGAGTTGGATCCTCATATATCTGAGCGGGAGATTGGAGAGAAGTTGAAAATACCAAAATCAACAATCCACGATCATATAAAACGTCTTGGATTCGTTAAAAAGCTTGATATTTGGGTACCACATGAATTGAAAGAAATTCATTTAACAAAGCGTATCAATGCTTGCGATTCTCATCTCAAACGCAATGAATTCGATCCTTTTTTGAAGTGAATAATTACTGGTGATGAAAAATGGATTGTTTACGATAATATTAAGCGAAAACATTCATGGTCCAAACGTGATGAGCCACCACAAACCACCTCGAAAGCTGATATTCACCAAAAGAAGATTTTGCTATCAATTTGGTGGGATTGGAAGAGTGTGGTATTTTTTGAGCTCCTTCCAAGGAACCGAACCATCAATACGGATGTCTACTGTCAGCAACTGGACAAATTGAATGCAGCAATTAAAGAAAAACGGCCAGAATTGGTCAATCGTAAGGGCGTCATCTTCCACCAGGACAACGCCAGGCCACACACATCTTTGGTCATTCGCCAAAAATTAATAGAGCTTGGTTGGGAATTGATGTTACATCCACCATATAGCCCTGACATTGCGCCGTCAAATTACTATTTATTTCGATCCTTGCAGAACTACTTGGATGGTAAAACTTTTAAGGATGATGAAGCTGTGAAATCGCACTTGGATCAATATTTTGCCGATAAAAACCAGAAGTTCTACGAGCGTGGAATTATGAAGTTGCCAGAAAGATGGCAAAAGGTCATCGAACAAAATGGAAAATATGTCAGTGATTAAAGTTCATTTTATGCACAAAAAAAATTGTATTTTATTTCTATGAAAAAATCGGCAATTACTTTTCGGGCAACCCAATACATCAATGCACCAATATGCGATGATTAATATCATTAATCGATTTCCTTCATATTATGTACAAAAGTGTTAAGGTGATGTTATCGAAAACTGAATTCATTTTATGAGATATTTGGTATCTTCTTCTGAAAATATTAGATTTAAAGTAAAATAACTCGAAAAGTAAATACTTTTCGATGATCTTATTCTAGTACTTTCATACGCAGAATAAACAGAGGAATCGGCTTGTATTAAAAGAAAAAACTATATAATTCCGTTTAAAAAAATTAAGATGATCTTAAAATGACCTTGAATTGTTAACTATATAACAAAATTACGGTCACTAACTTATTATTTATGTCCCTTTCCAAAACATACAACTTTATCCGAACATATTTTTTATGCGACCTTACCTTGCGAAAATAAAAGAGGTGATAGATTAAAATAGGCACAATATACACTTGCAGATTAAGCTACTCTGAACAATAAAATTTTTCACCATTTTTCAAATAGCACGCCAATTTTTTAGTTATTACTTAAACCTTTGGGCTCCAATGGGATATATACGTCCCATTAAGTATTCTAAGATACCTCATGTGCTATACAATTCCCGTTTTACGTTATATATTTTCTTAACGGGCTTTTGTGGTCTGTCTGAACATTTACAACATTTTTTTTATTTTTATGTAAAACTGTGATTCTATACAATAATAACTCCCAGATCGCCAATAAATATAAATTGTCCAAAATAATTATAAAAGGAAAAAGAAAAAAATTTGGTCCCAAAAGATTAAAGAAGCCTTTATACATGACCATTTTCGATCATTAATAATTCAGAATTTTGTATGGTTTTATGATTTGCAAAATAGTAGAAGAACTTTCTACTCAATTTAACCTGTTCTATCTTCATACGAGTGATTAAAAGAAAATTTTTGAACATCTTGTCTAATGTGTTAACTCAAATATATTACATTTTTCTCCCGCGAAAAGAAATGCACGCCACGTCGCATTTTTTGAGCCGAAGAGCGTGGAAACGATGTAAATGCGATGTTCAGAATTCAGATATTCATTTAAAATTATGCGAAATAATTTTACAAATACCAAAACAATGTTACAAATATTCTCGAAACAACACAGTGAATATTGTTATGATTTAACGAAATTACACGAATTGAATGTATGCGGAATGCGTACAGTTCGCATACCCCGACGATACGTATGGAGAAATTGCGGATAGCCGAACCTGCGAAACCATCTCACCAATCTGCATGGCTACGCCACCGGAAGTTCGTTCAGGAATAAGCTCCAATTTTCGCATTCCCGGGCACTCATTTACCGTTGCAATAATTTAGGATAAATAACATCATTGTTATTTTATTTTATTCGCTTTATTTATTTTTAGATTGTTCTTATGAATTTATCAACTGCCATATACTCTGAAAGAAGGATTTGGTAATATATAATTTAGTAACTGTTACTAAATAATTCGGTAAAATATTGCGGGCCGAATGTTCGACAACAATTACGAAATAATTTGATTAGATGAAGTAAAAATATAGTTTTAAGAATTAAGATTTAATTGTTTGAACTATACATTTAGATCATTAAACTAAACTTTGGTAATTAATATCAAATTTCGATAGCAGAAAATGAGTTATATTTGTTAACTATTACTAAAAACATAGTCCGTAGGGAAAATTGTTTTGGGTAATTATTATTATTTTACTAAAAAGTTGTATCGTTCTACGTAATTTATCTTAAGATAATATTCTCATTTCATTTTGATAATATTTTTTTTCACTTGTATATAAAAAAATCCTTCCTAATTTCAACTTCGTAGTGATCACCCAACCCAACTATTGATTGCGATCTTGTGTTGTTTTACTTCAGTGATCAGATGATAGAAACCGATAATTCCTACAAGCTCTCATCATGTCTTTCTATCTCGTGTTTATAATATGTTCTTGTATGGAAAAAAAGGAAGAGAGTAAAGAGTGAGTGAATGAAAGAAAGAGAGAGAGAGAGAGGGAGAGAGAGAAAGAAAGGGGAGTTATAAACATTTATTAATAGTTATCAAATATTTTATAAGAATGGAAGCAAATGATTTTGTAGTACTTACCAAATATCTAATAATAATTATTTAACATTTAATAACGGATGTTAAATATTTGGTAGCAATTACTATTTTATTTAGTTGATTCAACTCTGAATAAACGTCGTTCATATTGTAGGCCAACTAAATGCTTGGTAATTAATATCAAATTTCATAACAGTTACCAAATATTCTGTCGAAATCTCTAACTAAATGCATTTAATAAGTATATATAATCTTTTTTTTCAGTATAGTATATAATTATTACACAACTAATGACCTCGATTACCTCACGAGATTACTTAACTACACGCGCGACAGCCTCGTATTTAAATATCTCGCGAAAAGATGCGTTACTACTCGATGTTTTCGAAACATTTGCGAGTTTGTTCGATTAAATTCAGATGACTAAATACATCTCCCGTGAAGATCCTTTGAATATCTATACTTGAAACATTCAAGAGTCCCCCCCCCCCTCTCCCTCTCTCAACTGTTCCCTCGCGACTCTCATGATTCGCGCGCACTCTATAATCGCTCAAGATGCATCTCTGCGGGTCTCATACGTGGCAACGGCTTTGATGTACACGGCGATTTTTTTCATTATATCAAAGTGCATGCAAAACGTCTGCGAGCATATAAAACAGCAGTGCATTAAATAAGCCAAGAACGGCTTGAATAATAATAAACGGATAACCACAGTCTGCCATACAAGGTAGAACGTTGTACGTGAGCGCAGTTTCTTTCGCAAAATGTTTGAAGTCTGAATAAGAACGTGGATTGAAAAGGGCACTTTTCCGCTAGGCTACATTTAAAACTATCAGGAAAGTATCACGATTGCAATTTAATAACGACTTGATTGGGAAGCTGAGTAGATGAATTCGCGTAATTCGATGGCGCTTGAGTCACACGAAGTTATTTTCGATCTGAACTCTACCCTCTTCACGATTCTGATCATAAAATTAGTAGCAGCAATATAACAATATTATCCATAATATTGTAGTAGCATTTATTAGAAAAATGGTTCTTCCAACTATAATTCTTTCATTATGATGATTACAATTACAAATATCTATATCAAATATTTTTCTCTCAGTGCACAAAGTCCAATTGTTGAGATTAAAATACGCAGAGAACTAAAGTTTACGCGAAGATGATTTTTACGCGACACAATTTCATTAAAATGTACATCGGATCGGTGCAGAAGTCGTCTTGTTTTTTAATCAGTTCTTCGTCCAGAAATTTTTAGCGTGAGATTATACAGTTGCTGGAGATTCACTGAGAGAAATTATAGTTATTTTCAATCTCAACTACACCCTTTTAACCATAAAAGTAATAGTATCAACGTATAAAAGATTATTATCACTGGCACTATAATAACACTTACTGGGTAAAAGGGCAAAAGGTTCTCCTGATTACAATTCTCCCATTATGATGATTACAGTTACAAATATCAAATATTTTTCTCTTAGTGTGACTGATCGTCAAACAACGGCACGTTACAATTTAACTGATTGCTCGTATTTTAGAATAAACAAACGTTACATTTATATTCAGGAAATAAGGAAATGGGATGAACTTTTGCATCAACAACCCAACAAAGAATAAAAGTGCACGGAAGAGTAAAAGTGACGTGTGCGAGGAAGCGCGGTGCAATTATTGTCCAAGTGATAATTGTGCGTCAACAATAATTCTCTACTCACAACGACAGCCTCCTCGATGTCATCATCCTCTCGCTTCTTCGTGGACCGGCACGATTTGCTCTAGCGAGATTTCAGTCGCACGCACACGTAACTCGTTGTTGGCGCCGTTGAGTTTGACACTCGCCGCGAGGCGCGACGAGCCATTGCGGCGGCCGCGTGGATCTTCCTGCCGCGAACCCCCTAAGACAAGCGTCGCGGCGCGCAAGCCCCGATATCAGCCGCCGATCGTGTTCACGCTTAACCGTTTTAACTAAAGCATGGAAAATATATTTCTCGCCTTTTTTCTTTCAGATTTTTGTCGATAAAATTTTCATCGTGATATCCGGACTGTTTTTCTTTATATTATTTTTCTAGTATCTTGGGGATAGATGAATGTAAAAAAATGATCATAATAGACATTTTGTTAACAGCAAAAGTATTATAAATAACCAAATTAAAAGAAATGCCTGTTTTCTTAAGAGAAAATATATTTTCCAACGACTTTTCCAAAATATAGGTGTTAAAATTTATATATAGGGTTTCTTGAGGTCGCTGATTACGAACCTGATGTCAGAATTAGAAGATTTTCAAAATCAAAGATGGCGGTCTATTGTGACGGACCGAAATTGCAGCAAATCAAGCAATTCTCGTCAAATGTGGTATCTAGAGGGTTTTCAGATCACTGATTAAGAATCTGGGGTCGAAATTGGAAAATTACAAAATTCTAAATGTTGAATACAAAATAGTGAATCAAACATGAAAAAATTCAGTCTATGGCTTTCAAAGCTTCCGAGTACAAATTATAAAATGCGATATTGCGAAAACGAATTAGAGTGAAATAATATAATCTACAGCATGGACAAAATCTTGCATATACTAAATTTCTAAGTAAAAAATTCATATATTATTCATGAATAAAGGAAAACTGTTCTGATGATATATCGTTTTTTATCGTCAAAATTCTGCTCGAAATTAGATGTTAGAACTGTCTAACCATTAGATAGTAAATTTGGGTATAGACATATGATATAAAACACAAATTTACTATCTAGTTAGTAAACAATTCTGACATTCAATTTCTATTTAAGATTGCTATGTTGCTACTAGACAGTTACTAGACGAAGTTTGATATTCAATTTCCATTAAAGATTTACCGAGTTTTCTATATCGTTACTGTGTAATTTTTTCATCTAACCATAAGATAGAACTACGCTCAGTAAAGTCAAAACAAAACCGCCAAATTTTTTTTTCGATAGAGTACTCATCAGCTACCCGATAGATGGAATAAAGTTATAAAAAGTAACGGAAATTATTTAAACCTGTACTCGACTTTTAGTAAATAAACTTTGACTTTCATGAAAAAAGGCACCGAATTAAATTGCATACCTAATACATACAGAGTTGCACTAAGATCCCATATGAAATATTTTATTGAAGCTCGTAAAAGGACAGACAAGCTTCATAAAGCGCAACTCGTGCGATTAACAATGAATACATTCTCCTAAATATTTCATTTTGCATAATGAATTGCACATGAAAAAATATTAAATTAAGGTAATATCGACGTATTATTCTCTCTTCCATGCTTCTCGATACGTGCGTTCTTTCCGGCTGTGATAATGTTACTAATCACTAAGACGTTAGAAACGTTTATGTTGTCAGACAGAAATTAAATAAACTAAACTAATTACCTGACGAGGTCGAAATGATTCGGACCTACACCTGCAATCAACAAGAATTCATATATTTCGACACTTCTCCTTCTCTCTCTCTCTCTCTCTTTCTCTCTCTCTCTCTCTCTCTCTCTCTCGCAATTTAATTTGCAAAAGCTCTTAACAAAGTGTGATTTTATTAATTATCTACAACGCGCGTTCGTCGCAATAAAATGCGCGTCCCCTTCTTGAAAGTTCCACGGGTGGTGAAGTTTCGCAGGAAAAGCTAGCTCCTCGATTCGGAAAATTATCGAGGCCGCATCATGATTTCTCGCCCGCGTTTCCACGCGGGATATCGCGAAAATCAAAACGCGCGTTCTCTTCCCTCCCAGGACCCTCCGGGTGTGGAAATGATTTCCAACCATCGTTGACGTTGCCGACGGGAAAACTTTTATCGTCCCTCGAAGGTAAGTGAACCCATCCTGCCGGCGGAGGAGCCCGCTTATCGATAGTAAATCTAACCGCTACATGCACCTACGTGCTATCGCCGTGCAAAGTGACTCGCAACTGGTGCTAGCCCGCAGAACGCTAAAATACGGACTCCTCGTGCAAATCTAGGACGAGGATTTTGCGAAAGTACATTCTCGACGTATCGATGATCTCCGCCAATGTTTGCCGGTATCTAGACAAAATTACCTAAATAATCATCCAGATGAATAAATAGATCATCTTTATCTTTATCTAGATGGAAGAAATACAAAATATATTCACCTTCATCTTAATTAAAAAACATGTTATCTCATCTAAAAATGATCTGAAATGTTATAGTCCATATTCTGAATTCCTTTTGAGAGAGACACAGAATGAGACAAGTATATTTTGTTTCGCTCTGACTTATTGCACCAGTTCAGCAGTGCAGATAAAAAGAAGAAACCAGAGGAGACAAAACCAAAGGAGAGAAATTTATTGATTCGTTGAAATATAATCTCCAATCTTTAGTCTAATACGGGCTTAACGCATAGGTCCATATTATTTCATTCACTTTATCGAAAAATGAGTTCAGAATATGGACCACATCATTTCAGATAATTTTTAGATGAGATAACATGTTTTTTATTTAAGATGAAGATGAATATATTTTGTATCTCTTCCATCTAGATAAAGATAAAGATGATCTATTTATTCATCTGGATGGTTATTTAGATAATTTTGTCTAGATATTAGCAAATATTGTTAACTAGTTACTAACTTTTTACTTAGACAGACTAGGTGCATTTTTACTTGAAACGATTTAGTTGCAAAGAAAATTTCTTCGTGATATTCTAACTTCAAACTGTCGGTCGGTTATTATGATATTCAGCGTCCCGTGATTAAAATGTTGCAGCGAACGGCAATAATCCGCATCGTCCCGCAGAAATTCTTCCATCGGAGATCTTAACAAGGCAGCCTCCCTTCCACGTTTTCGCACAGCGCTCGCAAATCATCCTTTACACACACCCTTGCGCGGAGCGTTCCAAATCGTGATAGCTCACTTATCGGACAACTTTGTCGCGGTAATGTGTGTGATATGACGCGGAAGTGAATCTTCATTAATGCTTATCCGGGCGCCCATTAATTTTGATCTTATCTCCACACCTGTGGCCTTCCAAGCTCTTATTTTTAAGGGGCCGCATTTGGGAGATGTGGTTAATCGTTAAAACGCCGAGAAGTTGCCCGCAAGAAGAAGTGCGCGTATCTTTCAACTGTTGAATTATTCTCATTCAAAACGAGCACTATCAGTATTTGCCGGTATCTAGATAAAATTATCTAACTAATCACCTAGATGAATAAATAGATCATCCTTATCCTTATCTAGATGAAAGAAATACAAAATATATTCATTTTCACCTTAGATAAAAGAAAACTTGTTGATCAATCCACTTTAAACCCGTATCAAACATTTACACATTTATTAACTTCTCTCTTGAACCTTTTATTCAATAGATTTTATTTTTAATTTAATTACTTAAACAACCTATTTGGACGCAAAAATAGCATGAACGGAAATTTAAAACATCATCAGAACAGAATTATCATCAGGGTCAAATTAGTAGTAAATTATATTATTAAAATTGAAGAAGAGACACCTATTTTGTTATCTAAGTTTCTACTATTTTATGGAATTGAAGGTTTATCATAGACTAAAAATTTCAATTTGAGCTTTCTCTCTCTTTTCAAAATGAGTTGCGTTCTTTTTATGTTCCGCGACAAAAGCTTTGTCACGTCGCGATTAAGAATAACCGGTCGGTTTTTGCCGTGCACCGCAAAATAAGCATCGATCAGCCCCCTCCCCCTGCCCCTTGTTACTATTCTCGAAGGTTAATGACACCCTCTCTCGCGTCTTAAAGAGCGCCGTAGCGGGGGTGACGGCGATGGCTGATGCCGGTGATGCTGCTGTTCGATCGAACTACTTTGAAAATTCGATCACCAGCTGTGTGTCACTAGGTCGGCCGAGATAGAATATACTCCGTGCATGCGCGGTACGGCAACTCACGGGGGTTGATCGGGTGCTGGGTGAGCGGTGGTGGCAAGACGGAGAGACTCGGAGAGGAGCGGAAGAGAGAAAAATCAAGGCAATCCGAGAGAGAAAGAGAGAAAGTGAGGCGACGTGAGAAGAGAGGAAAGATAGAGAGTCAGACAGAGAGAGAGAGGGAGAGAGAGAGAGAGAGAGAGAGAGAGAAATCATGGATACGAGGGAGCGAGTGGTGGCGGAGTGATGTACAGGATAGAACAGGATCGTACATAAAAAGGGAGATGCGAGCAACGAGGAAACCATGAGAAGGAGAGTGAGGAGGACGGAGAATTACGGAAGCGAGAACGGGAGAGAGAGAAAGAGAGAGAGAGAGAGAGAGAAATACGGGCGATTACGAAAATGCGAACGGAAAGGATGGTGATTCTGCGTGAGAGTGAGAGTGACGGAGGATTTACGAGAGAGAGCAAGATTAAGAGAGATAAATAATATATATCAGGACGTATGCGTGTGTGAGGGCGAGAGAGAAAGAGAAACGGAGAGGATTCACACGAGCTGGAGGAGCGAGGAGAGGGTGGATGGGAGGATTTTTGGAGCAAAAGAGAGATAACGAGGCGCGCATCGTAAGTACGAGAGAGGGGAACGATTCCCGGAGGGACCGCGAGGGGGAAAGAGCGCGCTCGCGGTGTAGGAATGAAAGAGGAAGGAGGGGGAGGAGAGAGAGAGAGGATCTGAAGAGAGAAATCGACAGTGGATCCGCGTTAGCTACGAGGGATGAAAGGTGGCAGCCTTCTCCGTGAGGTTCGTGGCGCATGGGAATACCTAACGGCTTCGGTTTTGATCGGCATTGACGACGTTGACAGCGACGAGGACGACGACGACGACGTGGACGACGTCGACGGGGAGTGATGCTGGGCAACGATCGATGACGCGTTCGTGACAGTACGTTCGAACGTATCCGCGAGCTCGGGTGATCCGCGAGTCCCCAGCGTGACAGCGGCGTCCGAACAAGCGTTGGGCTCCAACGCACGAACGCTGACCGAACAGGATGAAACGGCACGGCCACTCACTCTCTCAGTAAGCCGACGAGATCGCGATCCTAAGAGCGTCGTGATCGATGCGAGATTGCAATGTCGTGATCTCTCGCGATCTCTTCAGCGGACCGAAGTGCACGCGAGTGAAAACTGCGCTGCGAGACGGCGGCGGCGTGATTTCCACGGCAGACCGGATCGTCCATCGTCGGGTCTCGATCGGATCGGCGATGAAACCGTCGTGATCCCCGTCGTTATCGGATGCATCAGGTATGTTAATTCTTCATGAAGCAGCGCGACGAGCACAAAGAGAAAGAGATAAGTGCGAACGGAGGGGAGGACACGGAAAATTCGCCTCGCGGCGGAATTAACGAGTATCGGCTTGGCGCAGAAAAGTCCATCCCGTTTCTCGTTGAACGTTGGCTCTCCGCTCAGAAATCTCAGAATCTCTGCGAGAGATCACGGAATCACGCGGCCATCCAAGAGACTGTAGGTCGCCGAGCAAGACGCTAAGCGTATTCGATCGATTGATTGTAAAACTGATTTCAAAATAAATAAATGCGTACATTTGGACTGAGAAACGGCGACGAACTTTTGCGTCGATCCAATTTCGCGAACGTGGCTCGGGAAAATATGCAAGGATTACTCTTTTTGTTCCGACACGAAGTTACTCTCCTCGTCATGTCAAAGCTCACGGCTCACCGTTAATTTTCTTATTCATTCTCGCCACGATCCGCGATGTGGAAATCGTCGATACAATGTTCACCGTCGCCGCGATTTTTCCCACGTCACTCGATACGATGATTCATCGGCGAGCGAGTGGCGAGGAACTCGCGACGAGAACGGTTACGCGCAAGATATATCGCCGGAAATAATATTTATACATAGTGCATCGGGATATTAACACTTTGCCGGCCGCCCATTTATCGCATCGCCGTTACGCTGCCGCCGGCGAGATTCACGCAGGTTCTACTGCTCGCCACTATTGTTCCTTATTCATTAATTGTTGCTCTGCATCAATATGTACTTATAAAAACATCGGAATGAAGCATCACCACTGGCGAAAAGAAGTCACGTATACGTGACAGCGGCCGATAGCAGTTAGTGAAGAAAAGTCGCGCGTACGTGACAGCGGCCGGCAAAGTGTTAAGGTACCAATTTTCTCCGCGAATCTCATGACGTATGCGACAACAGATGTTTCGCATTGGAATGCGGATAAAAAAAGCGAGCGTAGGATATCGCGTGCGTGAAATATCAGTGCTCCTCCGTCCCAAAAACGAAAGCATTAATAAAGCGCGGCGCGAGCGGGGGGCCCCCTTGGCCGTCGTTATTTACGAGTATATGGAGTCTCGTGGCTAACAAGATCTCCATCATCTTGATCCTCTCGCGAAACAAACGTGGTACGTCGCAAGGGTTCATAATTCCGCACGTTCTTCTCTTTACAATTCAATGCGAACGCTCCGACGGACGCAGTTTCGCCAGGGGTAGAAGCACCATCCTCGTGGACGTGCGGATCGTTGAACACAAGGAAGAGAAAGTATCGAGCACACGAATATTGATATTTCTCCCTCGTACCCTCACACGACGATGGATTCGGCGATCGCGCGTCCCGCACACCCGTCTTGGAAATCTTAATTGTTTGCCTTCAATTTTGAATCCCAAAAAATAGGAGCGTTAAGCGTGCACCGAAATTGCCGAAGCAAAAAGATCTCTCTCTCTCTCTCTCTGTCTGTCTGTCTGTCTCAAACTCTCTTTCTCTCCTCTCAACTTCAAGGAACAAAGGTTAAGCCGGGATATTTAATGTTATTTCNGGGGGGGGGGGGTTCGTTTCGCGTGCGGGGTATAACTCGGAAGTTGCGTGTCCGCGTGTGCGCGATGGAGTGTAACGGGAGTACGCGCGGCGGTTGGTACACGGGGTCAAGGGCGACGGTGAAAAAAAGTCACGTGAATGTGCGCGCGCGGTGCTATCCTTTATCTGTTTTCAGGCACCGGGGAGATGCCGAGGGGATGCGAGGATAACGCGACGGGATGACGGGATCCTTCCCGCTCGTTCACTGACGCAATCCCGCCCGGACAACGCACGACGACTGCCGGCAGGATGCTGCCGCGCGTGCTGCCGTTGTTCGTTGTCGTCCTCCTCCTCGTGCAGCCACGTCATCGTGTCACCCGGTGAGCATCGTCACGCGCCGTCTCACGCGAGAGCGAGAGATCCCTGTCGCGGAAAAAGGACCGCCTCAACGACACCCGTCACTTTTCCTTCGCGCCACGCGCGTCGACCGCTGACGCGCATGTGCCACGCATGTGTTCCGCGGATACACCTGAGTCGAAATTTCGGCGCTACGTTGAAAATGTTGAGGTTTCAATTCTACAACGCAGCCACAGACTCGGATAATAAAATACGTTTCATTACAATTTAAAAAAATATAATTTAATCTCACTTTAACTCTCCGACGATGTCCGAAATTTGCTTTTTCGCTATTTTAGCGTCAAAATAGGCTATTCAAAGTCGAAGCGTTGAAATAAAATCTATAGAATTAAATGTTCAAGCGAGAAATAAATAAATGTCGGTATCGACAAGCAGATTTGTATTAGTCTAAAGACCATCTAAATAGATGCAAATTATATCCTTAAGTGACCATATAATGTAGACGCTTAAAAATGGCACGTTTTCACGACATTTTTTCGGGTGGAAAAAGTTAGTTATAAAAAGCCATTAGGTGCAATGGAAAGAATGTATTAGGGGGACTGGAAAGTAACGTCGTTTCTGCGCATGTCGATATTCGTTTGTCATTTAT